CTATAAGTAGTAATAATCATTTGGATCAGCGCCATCTAGCGGTCGTGATTTTTTTGGCCAAAAATTGCTTCCGAAATTCTGAAGGAGAGCTTTAGGCAGTTTAGCCCTAGAGCTATTTAATTACTTATAAACCAGCCGCAACTCTTGAAATAGATACAAAATAAATAATTAACGATGTTTGTGCTGTTTGCGGCAAGTTTGCAATTTATCTATTATCCAAAAGTGTAAATATATAGGAGGTCGATATTCGTGTAGAACATACATTGCAAACTTGCCGCAAGTAGCACAAACATAGTTAATTATTTATTTTGTTTCTATTTCGAAAGTTGCGGCTGGTTTATAAGTAATTAAATGGCTCTAGGGCTAAACTGCCTAAAGCTCTCCTTCAGAATTTCGAAAGCAATTTTTGGCCAAAAAAATCACTACCGCTAGATGGCGCTGATCCAAATGATTATTACTACTGAACTACTTATAGTAGAGCTATTTATTCAATTATAAACCAGCCGCAACTAATTTGATAAATTTAAAATAAAAAGTTAACGTTGTTTGCACTATTGGCGGCAAGTTTACAATTTATCTCTTACTCAAAAGTATAAATATACAGGAAGTCAATATTCATCTAAAAAATACATTGCAAACTTGCCGCAAACAGCACAAACACTGTTAACTTATTATTTTGTAATTATTATATTAGTTGCGTCTGGTTTATAATTGATTAAATGGCTCTACCATAAGTAGTAATAATCATTTAGATCAGCGCCATCTAGCGGTCGTGATTTTTTTGGCCAAAAATTGCTTCTGAAATTCTGAAGGAGAGCTTTAGGCAGTTTAGCCCTAGAGCCATTTAATTACTTATAAACCAGCCGCAACTTTCGAGATAGATACAAAATAAATAATTAACGATTTTTGTGCTACTTGCGGCAAGCTTGCAATGTATTTTACACACGAATATTGACCTCCTATATATTTATACTTTCGGGTAATAGATAAATTGTAAACTTGACGCAAACAGCACAGAAAATGTTGAACTTTTATTTTATATCTGTTAAATGAGTTGCGGCTGGTTTATAATTGTTTAAATGGCTCTAGGGCTTATACAGATACCTATTATTTTGCTGGGTGAGAAAGACGGATAGTTGTTTTTGTTAGCATATTCCAGCGGTAATAATGCATATTTGGAATCTGTATTACATATTTATACAGCTTAAAATGTTTAAATATTAATCATGTGTGCCTATTTACTGACTTATTTGTATAAATTGAACTTTATACAAAAACTCATGATACAATCGTTGATTGTCTCAATCATTATTCTAAACGTTAGTGAAAAAGGCGGTTAAGGACTTATACTTAGCCTGCGGACTATTTGGTTTTTCCCTGTTAATATTGGTTTCATAATAATTTCGATGTTTATGATCAGAAATCTACATGAACAGAGCAAAATTTTATTGATCTGACAATCTGGGCAAGTTTTTCATGATGGATTACCGACCAGCCGAAGTAAAAGAGGTAATTCTTATAATTTACAATACATACTTATAAATTATATGACATTGCTTTTCAGTTTACGTTAAATATTGTGCTATACTTTCTAGAAGGTATGCTTATAATATGCTCACCACAGTATTATCTCGCAGAAAGTTTTTCTGAGTAATATTTATATTGATAATTAAAATTTACACTGACAATATACTCTCTCTGAATGTACTGATGACAGCTATTGTTGTTAATTTTGCTTCATCCTAGTATTTTGTATGCTGAGTTTAGTATTTATCCAAAACCTATACTTTTCAGTGGCTCAGATACTTCAAAAAGTATATATCAAAGAAGGACAAGGAAAAAGTCATACAACTGTTGAGTAATGTTCCCCTGTCAATGAGATGTGACAGTAAAGGCAACACTTTGCTACATTACTCGGCAAAAATGGGCAGCAAGATCATAACAGCTTATCTAACAGATGCAGGTTGTCATATCAATGTAAAAAATGATCTTGGAGAACCTCCATTAGCTACTGCCATCCTGTACAATAATACAAAAGTAGCATCAATGCTGATAAAATCTGGTGCTATTCTTTACAACACTTACTACAAAGAAAATTGTGGACCACTACACTTGGCAGCCCAGAGTGGTGAAACTAAAATTGTTAAAATGTTAATTAAAGCTGGCTGTGACGTGACAGCTGTTGACGATATTGGTCGCACTCCTCTTCATGCAGCTGCTCAGTACTGTTTCCGTAAGTAAATTCCAATCTTATTGCAATGAATACAGAAAAAATTAATTTTTGGAATAAAAATTACCTGTATGTCAAATTTTTTTTTTTAACACAGCACGATATCAGATCTTTAAATTGCTAGTAGACGCTGGAGCAGATGTCAATGCTAGAACGATAGAAAAAAGCTCACTCTTGCACACAGCTCACAGATGTGAAGAAGCTTTTGTACTACTCCTCAGTAAAGGTGTGGACATTCATGCACTCAATTCACTGGGCCAGACGCCTTTGCACAAAGCGGCTATGTACGGAAATTACAAAGTTACGAAAATGTTAATTGAAGCCGGTTGTGACGTCAACGCAATCGACAATTTTGGAGTAACGAGCTTACATTACGCAGCTACCTGGAATTCACCAGAGGTCGTGAATCTGTTGCTGCAAAATGGTGCCAATGTGGATGTGTATGATGCCGACGATTTAGATCCACTGATTTATAGCATCAAAGAACTAGGCACTAACTTCAGGTACGAATCATTACGCAGAAATTTCGAGATCATTGCCGCGCTAAACGACTATGACAAAGTTTTCGAGGTTCTGCATTTCGATGAGGTAAATATAACCGGATTCATGTATTTCAAGGTACTCTTTGGCCTAAAGTACTACAATGAAATATTAACATATGATTTTCAGATTCCCAAGCAATTAGCCGTGATCAAGTTATTATTGAAGGCTGGAGTGCAGTTGAATCGAATAAACGTCAATGGCCTGACGGCATTCAACATAGCTGTTTCGGTCGTTTATCACAGCAGGATACCCAAGTATTTGCTGAAAAAAGGAGCAACATTTGATTTCAAAGACACGCTAATAAGACGAATTTTCGGTGTGCCGAACAAGGGCTCGAAATTACCACATCTACTGTTGAGGCACACGGCCATGTTTGACGCGCACAATCGAAAGGATGGTCCGCAAAATTTTTGCCTTAAAAAATTGAAAAAGAAATATCAAGAGATTTACTCGTGCTGTAGAGATGAGCTGGAACTCATGAAGTCTACCCAACTGTACGATTCCGTGACGCTTTTTAATTTACTCGTTGACAAGCATATCGGGCCTTACGTCAGAAACGAGTTGATAGTCGATGCATTTTTAATACGATCCCATCGTATTTCCGAAAGATTCCCGAATTATCACGATTTGATTGTCGAGAGGGTCACTAAGGAGAGGAGAAAGCAGGAGTACATTAGGAGAGCCACCCGATGCTTGAACCGTATTTTCCAATCGACCGGAGGTAGTCTACCCATAATAATTACCGACAACATTTTGCGTTTTCTACCAAAGAGAGATTTACGCTCGTTGGTTGCGGTTTATGGCAAAAATGCAGTTAAGCATACCTAAACGTAAGCGTATTAATATCCTTTTTTTTTTTTTACATCAAATAAATAAAATCTGGTTGCGTACTCAAAAAAATTCAACACAGATTTAAATTGTCAAAATAATATTAACTAGGCATAATTACGAAATAAGTTTGAAAGAAATATATTTGTACTATATTTTGTTACCGTTATCGAAACACGATGAACATTTTGCTATGGATCCTTTGAAAAATAAAAACCATCCAAGTCAAACACACAGCTTGTTATTCTTCCTCGGCTGAAAATTATTTAAATAAAATAAAGTTGTAAAAACATGTCGTGCGATTCCTCATCCTTTGCGTAAAATGAGCAACAAAAGTATGGACTACCACCTCATCGATACCTTGTAAGCTACAAATAATATTAACGTCAGCTTAGCGTTACCCGTCAAACGAAGCCGTGGCATTGAATATTAAACACTTTACAGCCGCACCTTATTACACAAATGCGAATACTAAGTAATATTGAATCGCATTGGAAAAAAAAAGTATATCTCAAAACTCGTTTTGTCCATCTTTCGCACAATATCGTGGAATGTAATATATATATACATAGATCTCGATGTGTATAATGTTGCGCAACAAACACGTGTTTATCTGCACCGTCGCTTTCGTTTCCACTCCCTTTTGCAGGCGTGAACGTCCTCGTTATCTTTTCTTCGAACTTTCCCCCTCTTGCCGATTATCCATTAACCATTGTAGGTCTGGGGATGCAAAAAAAAACATAAATTTATTCGCTCCGTGAAGAAATTTTATCGATTTTTGCGAAAACATCTCCCGAACCCGCCCACATTTTTCGAACAAATGACCCAACTGCTCTGTAAGCACCCAAACTCACTCACATTCACGGCTATACGATAAATCGAGCGAATCTCCTTTGTATATAACTCCCAGTGAAGCCGCGGTACATACCACCTCATTCTCATTTCGACTCGCTATCGTTGAGCGAAAGCTTTTACGCGCGACCGGTATCCCTTCATCGATCTCCCAACAATTAATTGCAGCGATTAATAAAGTTACTTATTTCTCCCCGTGAACGGGTAAAAGCTCGAGCGCTCCTCTGGCAGTTGGGGGAAAAAAAAAAAAAAAAAAAAAAAAAAAACCACAATCATCATCAGCAGGTCGCACCCAAGTATACACCGATCGAGAGGGAATAATGTAATAACCAGCAGAATTCCAGGCGTGGATTTTGCATTCTTATCTCCTCCTCCTCATCGCTCGAAGCCCAATTTTTCCCCGTCCCAATACATAAAATGCATATACCTACACACACTCTCCCGCAGCCTCCCGATTTCCAGCTCCTCTCGTATAATACTTACGCATTACATCTTCTCTCGCTAAGGCCATTTGTCTCTATCCTTCTCCCCTTCCTCCCACACGGTTTTACTCATACCCCGGGATGATTGTATACGCAGACAAAACAAGGATCATCCTCTTGTACTACTCCCCCCCCCCTCATACGTGCATTGCTGGGTAAAGAGCCAGAGCTGCAGTGCGTCTCTCTCGACTCCCCTTATCTTCTCAACTGCTCGTGCCATGTGAACTGGTATATATGCACGTTGTACGTATAAAATATATTTTACCCCAGTAGAGGTTGTAGGATACAGGTACTCTCTGATGCAGACCCACTCGTAAACAAAAGGTGCACCAGTATACAGCTTCCACGTGCTGGCGAGACAAGAAGAATAACGTAAAAGGTTTTGTTTGTTTCCGAAACAAAGAAGGAGACGAGCGTTCGGAGATCGGATGTCCTTGTGCTTACGACGCGTATAGGTGCCCGAGCTTGCGAGCTTTTTTGGAGAGATCGGTATACGATAACACGTGTAAATACCGCACAATGGAGTATTTTTTATACGCATATATATCATCAGAGGTAATAACAACGAGCCATGCAGCGAGTGAAAAAGAGAGGAGGTACTTATTACGAAGTAAAAAGAGCCACAGCAAGCGCGGCTCGATTTCTGTACGGGTGGGGGTCCGCCTAACCGGTAAAACGACGGGGCCCATGTACACACACAAATATACATATGTATTATATTGCTGGCTCTCTGGTGTATATACCTATATGTATACGTATATGCACGGGCAAAAGGCGAGAGGCAGAGGAGAGTCGAACGCGGGTATACAGGAGGAGGAGGAGGATCGTACACACTGTGCAGTCGTCGTACGGTCGCGGGACTCGCTGGTACACACACCATCGGGAGTCGTTGCCGATCGAATAGAAGATCGTCGACTCGCCGTTATGGCGGGAGCTGCATCTTCGCCTCCTCGCGATTGTTGTTCTCGAAGATTGCGACGTCAAAGCTAAATCGATTATATTTATTTGTTAAATTATATACATCGGAAGAGGAAGAGAGGAGCTTGTTGGTCGTCGCTGCGATGGTCCTATCCCTCTGCGGGTTCGTCGAGTGAGAGATTAAAAAAAAAAAAAAAAAAATCCAGACTGGAGTCACCGGGAAAAAAGAGAAACTACGACTTCGAGGAGGGACTTTCTCTCGAAGACTCCTCGCTGCTCTGGCTGGACGCGCACACGCACGTTCCTCTTTATTTTACTTTCCTCCAAAGATCAAAGTGTTGATACACCACGCGCGTAGTGCTTACTCCAGGTGCTCGCGTGACGTTGTAGCGTGTGTGCAGGATACGTGCGTATAATATAGGTACGCGGAAGCCAAGGAAGCTAGCTGTCACGCATCGGTGGCCTGCGCGATATAGTATAGAGTAGGATCCTCCTAGGGTGCCTCGTTTCGGTGCGTGCGTGTGTCGTTATATATATATCGTCGGGTAAGGACTGTGGCCAACATGTGACGACGAACCGATTTTGCGTCAAGACACTTTTCAACGCCGATCGGTTGGCTTTCCCTGCGTTACCTCGCTTTGCTGGGAATAACAAGGTTGTTACATAGGTAGACGACGACCACTGGATCTCCTTTTGGGTAAGTGTGCAGTTTTTTTTTTTTTTTCGCGCTCTGTGTATGCAAAAGATAAGTAAGAGATCGGTAATTGCGATCAACTTCGTTTTCGTTCTCGAAGAGCCTCTTTTTTGGCTCATTGGCTCATAGGCCCTATGTCCATCCATACGTGTGCACCTACATGCACGTCGTGAACTTAAACTTGGCTTACATACACACACTATCCGGCGATCGTCCTTGCATTGCAACGTCGTCGTTGTTGTTCCCTATACGTGTGCTCGTATATGGATGCAGGTATAAGCATGAGAGAGTGTATATTGTACGTGGGTGGGAGAGATCGGTTTATATTTGGCTGTGAGAGCAGAGATGGCGAAGAAGGTTGGTCTGTACATAATATGTATATGTATATTGAGAGGCGCGCGGGCGGGCGTTTTGAACGATCCTCGCGCGACCCTGACGCTGTACGTAATACTCATTTTAAAAAGGGGAAACTCGATGGATGATGGGGAAACCTTGATATTGGCTTTACGTAACGTATACGCGTGTCTGGTGCTCGTGAGATTCACAACGTTGTTTGTTCCGTAAAACACATTTACAGCGCAATCGTAAGTTTGTTGGGTTATTTTTCCCGTTCATTGTGAAATCGACTGAAAAAAAAAAAAATTAAAAGTAAAACGGGTTCATCCTTGCCGATCTTTCGAAGGGCTGCTTTCTGTGGCGGCGATTATCCGAGAATCCAGGCTAATTCGGTAACGATCGCTAATGGTAAACGATTTACGGTAGAAATTTGACGTGCACCGTTCGTTAGGAAATTCATAAAATCGTTTCCTACGAGCTGTATGCACCACCGATGTTTTCCTTCCCTCGAAACATGTGTATACATACCCCGTAATTGGTCTCGAGACCGGCTCATTAGCCAATTACGCGGGTTGATTTAGGAGAAATTCAAAGCGGGCTCGCGCTCAATGTTTCGAGCAACCAGCCCCCTCACCCCTCCTCTTTCCCACGTATGTACGCGATAATTAAATAAGCTCGTACAAATCACTCGGTGTGTATGCACGAACGTAAACTTTCTTCGTCGCGCGTCGGAATAATCGGTTGGCAAGATTTTTGCCGCGAAATTAGCTGCTTTCCCCGCTTAACAATAGAGACAGGAAAGCACACGTATGCCCATAGGTATATATCCGCGGCTTTTGGTCACTATAGAAGCGAGAGCGGGGGCTTTGTTATGTAAAACTATACGCGTACGCTTTGTCCATCAGTTTATCTTTTCCAAGCGAGAAAATTGCTGGGAACAAAAAAAAAAAAAAAAAAAAAAACAACCATGATAGAACATACGCGCCATCAGCATCGGAATGAGCGTGTGCGCGCTTAAGCAGGTCTTCAAGACAAAATCACGAAAATTTTGAAACCTTTTGAAAAACCTTAATTAAAGAAAAGCTAAAAAAAAAAAAAAAAAAAATTACAATACAACATACACAATATAAGTTGTAAAATGAATACACTGGCGATCGATGATGCTGTTTCTGTAGATAGCGTCGAGAGATCAAAGTTCACGAGCTACGAGTCCTTTCTCTCCCTTGGTTCGCAAGTTCCCCCCCTCCCCACAGCTGAACGGTGCACAAAACGATTTCGCCCGAACGGCAATTAATTAGCTACGCGTACCGGGAACCGTATACACACGCGCATACCGCGCCTCCTCGTCATATCCCGAGAATTCCTGGGTGTCTATTTTTTTTTCCTTCCTTCGTTTTCATCCACTTTTCGTTACTTTACCGATCGCGAGTTACGCGATACCGATCTCTTCGCCATTTATTGCGCTACTGTTGCCTGCGTACAAGTGTTACGAGGTCAATTAGGCTACTGGAAACGCCTTCGCGTGTACACGTATTTTCCATAAAGTGGGGCGGATCGCAAAACGATGATCAAAAAGAAAATCTCGCTCTGGACGCCGTGCCGTAACTGTAAGTCGCGCCAGAATCCGCACTTTTATATCATCGTTACTTGCGCGCGTAGCTTTGAAAAAGTAAGTCGCTAGTCGCTACGTTTACACAGGAGGGAAACATAATATTTGTACGCCCTCGTTGGGGCTGATCGGTTATTATTTCGATTCGCCTCGACTTGCCCTTCATAATCACAAAGTGGGTTGAGATGGGAATTTCAACGCACCTCGACCGTACATATGTGCAAAATCTCTCGATTAATTACTGTCAGTTATTTCGTGTGTCATCGGTAACCTCGTATATATATATACGCTTGAAATATTAATTTGAAATTCGTTTTATTTATTTATTTATTTATTTATTTTTTTTTTTTTTCGCAGCAACAAAAATAGATCTACTTGGGGTTCGGTGTGAATCATATCCTTTATCCGTACAAACGAGAGCAGAGATTCAGGCATGAAATTACGTTGTGGTTGAAAATATAATTATACATACATACATGTACTCGGTGACTCGAGCCACATCCTCCATACGAGGTTTGCTCAAAAGAACCTTCGACGTATACACACAATACCTCCGCACTAGGCTCGTCACTCTGACTCATCCTACATACACGCGTATATTGTACGCGCTAACGCTTCATCGTGTAGTATCTTTCGAAAGCAATGAAAAAAAATAAAATAAAATAAACTATACTTTGTAAGTTTCAGTTGCAAAAAAACTATCGCATGAAGGTGTATATCTGATCGTCAAGTATACCCCGTGAAACGCGTCTCCGCGACAAAAAGAAGAAAAAAACAAATTCTCCTCTGCAGCAGCGCGTGAATTATTACGCAAGAGATCGTTTCGTTTTTTCACCGCCGCGGATTCTCTGCTCCCCATATAAGTAAAATAATTACCCCTCGCGATAAGAAGCCGCATACCGAGAGACCACATACACTTCTTCCCTTTCGTCCGTCTGTGCTAGAATCTACACGCACGCGGTACTCGTGCTTTGCCGAGTCTATACAATGTATGTATACTTGAGTGTGTACAAAGAAAGGCTCGCGGGAACAAATGCTTAGTGGACTCTCTCGCGTTATCGTCAAGTCAAGCCACACATGCTCTGTATACCCGCGCATTACATAACATAAAGTATTATATTGTTACTCTACACATGCCGGGCACAAAAAATTATTATATCGCATATATATACGCGTGTATCATAAAAGTTGGATACAACCTACATAAACGCAAGATGTTGTTATCTCTCGGTGAAATTTAACGTACGGCGTATGCGTGCGAATGTTGCCTGTGGCAATGGATAGTAGAGCGTCCCAATGTTTGTATCTCCTATAGCTCTGTAATTGTCGAATTCGTCGAAAACAATTATAATTGCTATCGGGCAAACATTTTACAGCGAAAAGCTTTCAAACCAAGGGGGAAAGGGTACAAATAATGTAAATGAAGAAGGGAGAAAAAGAGCGGATTCCGAGCGAATTTCGTATCGTGTGTGTGCGCACAGTATGTGGGCAGGGGATACGAAAAATTCCACAAAAATATCATCGGTCTATATATGGGGTCCTGAAACAAAAGAACCTGGAAAGATTGAAATGATTATTTTTTGGTTTACTTATTTGTGGTAAGAACATTTTAGAAATTTTGAATACATAAAAAAAAAAAAACAACAAGAGAGGGAGAGAAAAAATCTGTCAAATGAGGCTCGTTGAAGGTTAAAAATTATCATTTAAATAAATTACATATGTCCTTAAATTTTCAACGTCATGCAAGTAAAGACTCGAGCCCGATGAACCTACCGTATAGTCCCTGAATTCTTGTCTTTTGACTCGATACAATTGCTTCGTTTCATGTCACCCAAGTCTACGACGGATAATTTTTGCGGAATTGCTTCTGTACGTAGCGCGTATAGGCACGAGCACGCGCGCACAAAAAAAAAAAAAAAACAACAGTTTGTACTTACCCACGGCATATATATGCGCCGACAACAATTAGGTATAGCCGCAACATCGGTGGAATCGAGGATACACATTTACATTCGGTAGCAAATTTTAATTATACATGCGTATCATGATAGCCGTGGAGTGCTGCAGTGTAGAGATGATTGTTTGAATGTGAATGGAATTCGGAAACCGTCCAGTCCACGAGATTGTTGTATAGTTTTGCGGTGACTATATGCTCTCTTGCTGCAGCGATGAAGATGTCGTTGGTTGGATAAAATCGAGCGATTTTGCGATGTTTATGTTAAGCGTTTCGAGAATCGAGTGTTTTCTTCATTATTATCGGATGATTATTAAATTTTGTTGGATTAAGAACTAAAAAAAAGAGATTTATGACAAGCAAAGATTTCATTCATATCGGCATACCTATGGTAAATTTTTTGCGTCAATTATACAGTGATCAAGTCTTTTTTATTGACACTCATATTTTTCGGGGTTTTGGCCGAAACAACAATGTCGAACCCTTGCACATATTGTTTTTTATTAATATATATGCTAACTGTCCTATTAATCGATTATGATCAAATTGGAATTAGATTTTACGTAAGCAGTTTTATTTAATTTTTTTTTTTTTTTCAATTTTTCATTGCCTGATTCATTGTACTACTCAATGCACTTTTGTATGAATTTCTATTGTTATTTAACACAGTGAATTCCTCCATCAAGACTGGAAACAATTATTGTATACAAGTAGATTTTTTCATTCTACTGCTTTCGGAAAAAAATTTATTTAAACACATGTAAACAAAAAAATGTAATAACTCGTTCCGGTTCGAAATTGTTAAAAGTATGTTCCAAGTGATTGTAAGCCTTTATAAGTAATGCAGTATATTTTTATTAAAAAAAATATCATCGTAAAGGATTTAAAGAAAAACAAATTTTTTTTTAAAGCAGGCAACCCCCGCATTTTTCTCCCGATAGCAATAATAAACGTAGTTATTTTCGATTTGAAGAAAAAAAAAAAAAAAAAAAAAAAAAAAAAAAAAAAGAATAACGTCTCGCGCAAAGAAATCTCATTTACCTCGATCGAATCAGCAAAGCCGGAATTTCCCGCGTAACCATTTTACTCGTTCGGATAACCGATCCCCTCTTCCCCCCTCCCCCATTCTTTTACATTGTGTAAAATATATTGCACGCCAATAACCACTCGGTGCATCCATACAAAGTGTGTACACGCGTACTTATCATATCCCGCGTACGGTATACGTGGCTGGGTGCAACGCTTGCCGCTCATTCACCCGCAAACTTTTGTGAAAAGCGCGCTCTTCTCCTTTTATTCGCGCGATTCTTACAGATACATATACATATACCACACAATGGTACTGTTACCACCTCGATTTTAATACACTAGTAGTATATTATCTGGCAGGCGTATTCAATTTTCTTTTTTTTCCCTATCTTTTTTTTTTCTTTTCTTTTTTATATACCCGCCCATGTACATACATATGCAATAATGTGTACGGTAAAGCGTTCTCGTTGCGGTATTATCGAAGAATTTGTATATATATTTATGCGGGAATTGCATAAATTGTTGCATTTTAGTGGGAAAAAATCACGATACGTTTAATCTGTATCCAATTACTTCTACGGGCTGTAAATATCATACATGTAGTACAGGATGCCAGTACCGCATAGTGATTTCTTTATTTACTTATAGTTTTTTTTTTTTTTTATTTTTTTTATTTTTAAAACACAGATGGTGGTATTTGACATTGAGATTTTTAATTTGAGATTGCCTGTTAAGTACACAATGTGTGAGTGTGTATGGAGGGAAGAGGTGCATGTGTATAGCTATAGCGTGCCCGTGTATATACGGCCGTTCGACATATTTCCAATGATGACTAGGAAATATTAAACGATGATCTAAGAGATTCTTTGTTTCCTCCCGTGGGTTATATACGATTTTTCATCAATCCTGCGCCGAGAGAAGGAATTTTCGTTCCAACTTTCGGCGCAGTATGATGAAAAAATAATAATGTAAGAAAACCTGTACGTATGTATTCGCGCACACAGAGGCTCTCTTCTTCCTCGATGCACCTTAGCTATACATATATACATACATACATATATGTAGGTACCGGGGTGTGTAACCTTTTTCCGATATACCGTACTTGCACCCAACGTACCCTCCTTCCACCGTTCACCGGTATTTTCATTCAATGGACGCGCTTTTGCAGAACCGAGGCGTGGTCCGATTAGGAGGGAGGAGTAAAAAAAAATCATACTCGTGCAGGGGGCCCCAGTTTCGCTCCGCTACACGAGCACCCGTACTCTCTCGCCGATTGTCCGATCGGACGGACGAAGAGTAATATACCCTATACGTACGTGTGTGGGGTACTACGCGCCAAAATGATTTACCGTTAACGCGTACACACACACACACACACACACACACACTGCTAAAATGTACCATTATATTATAATACCGCTGGAGTTTGTGTTTTATATATATATACACATTTATTGTCGAGGCGGTGCACACGAGTGCGTGTGACCCTTTATTTTTCGATGTTTACCTTGTTGTGTTTCCCGCGATCGCACTGGCCACACGAACAATAATCCGATCGGTATTACTTACGCACACATACGTGTAACATGGGTATACCCCCTGGTATATGTATTGGCTCCTTGCCATGTGCGTACAAATCGCGTGATTTACATCGTATGTGTATGCACGAGAGCAGAGACCACGGTACAATGTACTGCACAATTGCACATACGCTTGTTTCAACCCAACGATTGTCGTGACACGCATATGTATATGTTGTGTGTGTGTGTGTGTGTGTGTGTGTGTGTGTGTGTGAGAGTATGTAAAAAAATAGGACACGTGCGGTCCGAGAAGAGAGAGAGAGAGAGAGAGACATTGTTTAAATGCACGCGCACATATTGTAAACCGTGCATGTATAGGGGGCATTAATTGTATGGGATTGTCATATTAATTATTGTGCGTAAGTATACATGAAAAATGTCATACTCTGTCGACAATGATCACAATGACATATATGTAATTCTCGGGAATCTGTATTTAACAAGCAAGCACTTTTATTTATATAATAGGTATAATATAATTATAGTCTATGTGCATCCGTATGATCTGTTTGTCCGTACTTTACTACCGCGCATATAATATACTTAAACTGCAGAGTTGAACGTACCCTATATCGTAACCGTGATGTATGTACATATAATATGCGTACTCTGGTTTAATTTGAAAAAAGAAAAAAGAAAAAAAGAATCATCTCGTTCGCGCAGGATATGAAATTGAGGAACCAATTTGGACGGTATAATGCTCATCGATGGTGCTCGAGTGCGGAGCTTAGCCGATTAAAGGGGTTTAACGAGCGTACCTAATGTCTCGCCTTGCGCATGCATATTATATATATATATATATATATATATATATATACTGTACAACACACGTCGAGGTAATTTCTCGATCGCCTCTAACAATATCGTATGAACGCGCAGGTATATTTTTTTGCACAGTCGCGTCGATAAAAACGATACGATCATGCAATTCTCGGGTGATTTATTCGGATGATTCTCGAGCGCGTTTGTAAGAGTTACTTGTGCGCCCCTCGGATTATACAAATAGCCGGTGGATCAATGTGAATGGCTGAACGGTGATGCCTGTACGGTGTTTCAAGTATACATATGTCCAATGAATGTACATTACAACACTATACAGGTACACGTTACATTACCAGTGTTACATTTCCGTTTGACGGGATCAATAGTCGCGTGCGATTTGCGACACATCCATCCCGGGAGATCGTATTTTATTTGCTGTTCAACTGTTTAAAAAAAGCACGATCTTGCATTTGCCTCACCAAATATGTAGACGTGAGCAAAAAGAATAGCCAATAACAACAAAAAGGCCCTTTTTTTACCCCCCGAAGACGGTAAAATCCAAAGTTGCGTCGAGCACGAAAGATACTCGCAATAGCGAGGAGACGAGACTCTTTTTCTTTGGTGGGATAAAAAAAGAGGTTGGAGAGAAGGAAAACAAAGTGCGCACGGGACACCCCTCGTATATACAATGTAATACAATGTAACTAACATGAAATGCGTTGGTTGACCGCAGGTTTCTCGGACCAAAGAGGAGAGCGAAGGACAACCGCTCTCTCCCTGTTCTGTGCTCGTGGTGGCGATGGAACGGCAGAGGATTGCTTCGGCGACGAGGAGGTGGCGGCGGTGCTTTTGGCAACTCGCCTGTCTACTGCTTGTGCTCGGGCTCCACCAGGTGAGCATCTCTCTTTTTTTTTTCTACCTACATATACCTATACATATACCTATACAATTTAAGGGTTGAAAGATAAAAACAATCGAGCTCCGATCCCCGGGTAGTTAATTTATGGTACCGGTTTTCCATACCGATTTTCTCCCCCGCGAGGGTACATCCCGGTTCTCGCAACTCGCCCGCTCGCAATGATATAATACAACGTGCGTGTGCACACGCGTCATCCGTGCAAATTGAGACATACTTCACGCACTGTTTTTTTTTTTGTTTTTTTTTCTTCTTTCATACGCCCACGCGCCTCGTGAACTTTATCGTGTACGAATCGGTACTCGGTACTGTGATTCGCGGGGAATGAAATATAATTAACGAGTCCGGTCTCCGGTCTCCGCGAGTTTACCCCGCAGACCTCGCTGAAAAATCGTCACGGGACGTTGGCCGTACAATAAAACCTATCTCACTTGCGATACATTAGATTACACACCGGTTCCTCCTATACGTGTGCATTATACATTATATATACAAGTCATGCATTTCGTGCCGTGTGTAACACTAAGGCTATATACGTACATACGTATACATATGTAGCTCGTATACGTGTATAATTTAAAGAGCCGTAAAGACACCGTAAGGGCCATAAAACCCGAGCTTCGGCCGGTCATCCCTCGTGCAGCTATTATTATTTATCCCCCGTGTATATAAATACATAACATTAGAGGGAGAGGGAGCTGAGAACCTGCACCGGCGGGAGAACAATAACTTTGCCATTTTTCGTTCTCGGTTACGTGTGTGAGGGTCTTTTATAACGGATTCCTCGATTGTTTATCGATGGCCGTTGAGAGCACGAGTCCTGCGCTAACATGTGTACGAGCTGTCGCGGTGCGTTATTGCGCAATTACGTTATTTCGCTCGATCGTTTTTTTTTTCTTTTATTTTATTTTATTTTTTTTTTTTCAATCATCTCAAATATGTGTACACGTATACGTTTGGTTAACGTGAAAACTCCCTCGCTGTGCGTACGAGGTAACGATACTCCGTACTTTGACGCGGGCACCAATAAAATCGTTACCGAGAATAAGTAGTTGCGCCGGTGATTTTTCAATGTTACAAACACACGAGTGTGTAAATATGCCCGTCTCCCCTATACATTGAGTTATTTCAAGTATATATTATAATAAACACCCACACGCGTGTAATTAGTGGAGGCATGTTACATATTTTGCACGTCCGTGCAGATAAACAAAGTAGGTTACGCGACAAGAGGAGGTATACGGTTTAATAGATCGTCCAATTTGTTTGCCAAGGCTCAAAAATGCGGTGAACGCGGAGTGATAATAACGTACGTGACAAAATTTATGGAGGAACGAACTCGTTTGGTGAAATAAGAAAAATAACTCGTTGCGTATGGTTGACTGAAAACCGGTTTCTATGCGAAACGGACCGGGCAATGATGTCAAAAAGAGCAACAAAAGGCGGATCAATTTTTTCAGGGGGAAACAAAAAAATCGACCCCAAAGCCTAGAAACCCAGTAAATGAGAGACCAAATCGCGTCAAATATCGACACGCGTGAAAATGTTTACCGATCACTCGCTACATGGATATTATTACATACACGCGTCGTGCAACGCTGCGCACATGGACTCCTTATTGAGTGCCACATGTGTACACCAACGTAATATATGTAGCTCCTACGACGAAGATAATTATTGCGCGTTTTGCAAGCGCCGGGATGTAGCGCTCGTACTTTATGTTATAGATATACACGCATCGATCGGAAAAAACGAGGTTGTATCTCTTGTTCTGTGCTCGTTCGCTCTTTTTTTTTTTTTTTTTTTTTTCATGAGAAAAACGTGTCGGCACGAATGTCCGAGCGCTTTATACTGTATACTGTACCCGAGTGGAATGAGAAAACAAAAAAAGGCGGCTACCGTGTGCATGTGAATTGGTATGCCATACTTCTTTGGTATGCTATGCTCTTCAGGTGGATGCGTAAAATGGAACGATTCGTCGCTCTACGGGTTTATTTATTTTATTTTTAACTCTTTTTTTTTTTTTTTTAGTACGCGATTGCTTTGCGAATCCCAAAATTTGTTGTAGCGTATCGCGTAAGTATTCAGTGTGAGATCGTGAAACAAATTTGGATGCGTAGAGGCACGCGTGTCTTACCGATTTTGGCTGTTACTGCCGTACTCGGTTGTAGTAGAACCAACCGAGTTCGGTCAGCCCGATTTCTTACAAGAAACCCGCACCGATCAGTAAGTATATAATATAAACAGTGAACCCACCCATACTTAATTGATAAAACATAAATAATATAAAATATACACTCATCGCACCTACGCAGAAATTTTCAACCGCATGTATTACGTAATACATGTACGCAATATGCATAAATACGTGCACGCACGGAATAAACATCTTTCGGTACGCCTCGCTACCTACCTACGCGCGTCTTACGTAAGTAAGTAAGTAACCCGAATCGGCATCAGCTAATTTATACAAATTTGGTACCTATACATAATATACCCACTCACGCATTTATATCTATTTTTATTCATCATTTTAACCATCACGCGCGTACACATCACACGGGAAAAAATAATTACCGGTCCATCGATCACCACAAAACGCGCGAGAGGGATATCAGCTTAGCACGCAAACGATTCGCCACTATCTCTTCTCGGCTCCTATATAAAGTATATATACTTACACACGGGACAACCGTAAAAGCACATCAGCTAAACACTCGCGAATGTATGCATATGGGTACTCGGTCATCGTCAAAAGTTACGTTAAAAGTACGCGCCTTTCCCGTTATATATACCCAAACCCCCCATGATTCGATCGAAAAATATATAAACCCACCCACCCCCACCTCTTCCCCCATATAAGTATCTCTTTCATGTACGTGTATATATGTATACCAATTCAAAGATATAAGTACAAGCTTCGCAGAACTTGCGCGCAACAAAAAAAAAGGAAAAGAACATTCCAACCGCCGTTTCGTATATATATGATATCTTTTTGCTGTGCGTATCCGCGCACATGTACATACAGGTATGGGTATAAACGTGTATATGCACCGGAATTCCTTTCTTTCCCTTCCACGCGCGCGGCAGCGTCGCCTCGAGAGCCATATACGAAAAATCTCGTCATCGCCGCGAGACGCGCACTGTCCGATAAGTACAGTATAAGGACTCGTAAAGAAGAAGGACTGCCTGTGTAAGACATTGGGGGGTATAGATTTACGGGCGTCCGACACATATATATATATACATATATATATATACCTGTACGTAACAAAAAGCTCGTAAAAACCGGGCCAACCGACTCGATTTCGAGGTCCCGCCTTCTCTTTCTCTTGAAATCGAAAGTATAATATATCGGCAACACGTATACCCTACCTACCTTATACCTACCTACGCACGTACACACGCGAGGCGTAGGCCGCCGTGTGTCTCTCGCGCGTATAGAAACCTTGTCGTCGTTGTTGGACGGAGGGAAAAAACGTTTCGCGAGCCTTGTTCGTACACACGTGTACTTGAGCTGCTGCCGTTGAGTAAGCCAATGCTGCGGACCATTTATGAAATTTCTACCCACTGTAATATATTATGTGTATGCTGTTGAGTGCAGGATTGTGTATATACGTGTAGAGGTACGGATGACTGAGTATACTGTTGCGTAAGAGAGTATATCTATGTATATGTATACCAAATAAAGTATTATTTGTCGCTGTGGCGATTAGGAACGGGTGCGTTGTTTCTTCCAGGGTACATTTATATGCTGTATACAGTGTGCAGAGCGGGTTGATTGGAATTTTCAGGGGAAAACTTTTGTCTCGTTTCCAAGTCAGAGGCTCAACGAACCTGTTTTGCTCGATCGCGCGTCGCTTTGAAAATCCATTATGCTATCCGATACACACACACGTATAACGCGCTCCAGAGTTTTGTTATAATATAGGGGGACTTTTTCAGGGCGTGAATCGGTGTCGGCCGCTCGGATCGGCTTTTTTCTGAGACCTTTTACTCGACAGGGAATTCTCCGAAGGTATTTCTTGCTTGTTTTTTTTTTTAAATTTAGTCCATCCTTCGGGGCCAAGAAGGGGATCGGTTCTTCATTGTGACGCGGTTGACGTTGCAAATGAAATTCCTCAATTTTAAGGAGCTTGGGAAGATATAAAGTATGAAATTAATAACATATCCAAAATACACGTCGTGCGGATAGTAAACGTGATCGCGAGTCGAGGGTAAAGGGGATATTTTGAAGCGCGTAATTATAACTGCGAGGAGCGTGTAAAAAGTGCAAGTCGAGCGAAACTGCAGAGAAAAGGCAAGAAAATATCTCCTGACGCGGTCAGCTCGCATGTGTGCGCTAGAGAGAGCCGGTTTCGCGATCGGCGTTTTTATGTTTTTTCTTCCCTCCCTCCCTCCCGCCCCGTTTTGTCTCGCCGTATCGTTTTCGCATCGCGATTTTCGAGTGGGCATTTTTTAACGACCCGCACGAACGCGGGCCGTCATACGAGCGGCTCTCCGAAAATTGAACTTTACCAAGTATATAGGCACGTCTTGGCGTTCGCGCGCTCATAAAACCTTACTTACGTGATTTGGCCCACCTCCTCCGCGGTAAAACAGTGATGCCCCGAAATGATGAATTTTGTTTTGTTTTCTCGTCATTAGCGCGATTACCGTGAAAATGATCGGTATCATAGTTTCTTTATTGCGTTTGACGAGCGCATCAAAATCAAATCTGCAACGGGTAATGTGTATACACACGAGCGAGCAACGGGTGTACAATGTACAGTACCCATCATTCTATTACACGCTGTTACTGCACGTGTGTACAAAGAGAGAGGGATGTATACTACGTAAATGTACTTTGAAAGTTTTTCGCGGAAGAATAAATGCCAGATAAACGCAATTGATTGCCGTCCCTTTGATTACCGTAGTAATAATGATAACTTCTCGTTTAATGCGCGTGTGTACGTATGTATACACGTACGAGGCAACAGATACTTATATACATGGGTACAGTTATCGAACTAACTGATGCCGGTGCTATGCCCGATTAAATATACGCATGGCTGTGTAAAAGACGTTACAAGTACATATTTATCGGAAGTCAAATGATTATACAGCGTAATTTTTTTTTTTTTTTTCTTCTTGTATACAGTTAACGCTCGTTTGTTGATCATTTCATGATCATCTTTCGCCGAAATTTTAATTGAAAGAAAAAAATTAATCGATAAAAGATGAAAAAGTAAATACAAATATGTGTCGTATTTTAATGCCCCGAATATTGAGTATATAGAACGCATACGCTGACAAAAGTCTGAGCAATAACGAAATTGGTATGCGATCCATTGAACTATTCTACATCGAAACGTGAAATCTAGAATAATTGACAAATATTTTGTCTTTCCCACAATTAGTTTTAATTAAAAAAAATAAATAAATAAATAAAATAAAACTTTTAGTCACAAGCTTGTACTTTGACGTTTATCAGTTACCAGTGTTCACACCGACTGCTCCCCGAGCATTTTGATGAAAAAAGGATGAAAGCAGGTGTAAAAATCTCCACCAAAACGATCAATCCTCGAAGGCAGTATGTACATGTAGGGTCAAAAATCCCATAAGCACCTACTTAATCTCGCGCACGGCGTACACCCCCAGCCTCATTATCAGCGGCCAAGCGCGTGAAACGGGAATAAAAGTGTGTACGCATATACTCACCCAAAGCTTCGTTGTTACGTGTCTAAATTACATGTGTATATGTATATGTATAAGCGGGAGTAAGGTAATTTTGCCTTTGCGGAACCGAAATCTAAATTGTTGCGAGCAAGGAAGCACCGCGTCATGGAGCGGCTCGCGGGTACAATATACGGTTTTCAGCATGTATAATTTTCAGACGATTGTGAAAAAAAATCTCTCGTTGGCTGACTCCAGTGGCCTTGAAACAGAGAAAAAAGAAAGTTGGTATTTTTTTTTTTCAGCGAACGTTATATTTTTAAATAATAAAAGAAAAGAAAAAAAAAAAAAAACAAAAACAAAAACGGTATGATAGAGCTAATGATAGACGCGCGCTTGGAAATGCAGAGGTGCAGGGGGGCAGAGAACCGAGAGCTACATGTACGAATACGTGCATAATGTTATAGTACAGCGCTGCCCGTGGTGGATCTTTGATTTTTTTTACGCGCCGTTGCGTAGCGTTGCGCAACCAACAACGGACATCTGAGAAGGAGGAAGTGCATACGTTCGGTATAACTGTTTTCCTCATTCTCTTTTCGCTCGATCTTTCTTTTTTTTTTTTTTTTTTTTTTTAACATATATATATATACATTATACATTTTTTGTATTTATACCTTGGAGTAGCTGTGTAGAGTAGAAAAGATTACAATAATGAACACCCATGTGTGATGCTTTCAATCTAAATGACAAACGTTTTTTTCAGAATTATTTAATCTCTGAATACAACTTGAAAGTTAATAATACTTGTAAGTAGAAAAGAGACGAGACATACATATACATATTTGTGCATTAATTGCTGTTTGTTTGCCAAATTTTTCGTGCGTTTTTTTTTTTTTTTTTTTTTTTTTTTTACGTTGCACACAGCATATTATTAATTTTTAACTTATTTGTTGGCGCGAAGCTGTTAATTCAATAAATAAAGCTATACATAAATACATATATACATAAATCGTGCATGTGCTGGATAAATTAAATTTGTACAGTTTATTAACCAATACTTTACACATTATTTGTACGTAAATTCATCAGAGGCGCACGAGCCTCTTATAGAATAGTCATGTGAATTAATTTCCATTAACTGCAGTTGACATCTCATAATATCATCGTCACGTAACACATTTATAATTTGACACACGCACCTGTATTGTACATTCATGCTCAATGCTTAACATTGTTGTTTTTTTTTTTTTTGTACATCCACGTACGATAATTGAATAAAGTTAAATACCTATTTAAATGGTATTTTATTATTTCTCATTTTTTATTACTTTTTGTAGTAAGGACAAAAACAAATTTATATAACTCGTTACGTAAAGTAACGTCTCAAATTTGATAAAATACAGTGTATTATTATTGAAAAATATATTCTTAAAAATCATGATCCGAGTAAAATCCACGTGTCGTTGTCAATCGAATAAGTGTCTGTCGTTACATGAAAATCGCTCCTGTGTTTAAACAAAATAAATATTAAAAACGACCATCCCCAACGGTGTGCGAAACGAAAAAAAAAAAAAAAAAAAAAAAAAAAANTTTTTTTTTTTTTTTTTTTTTTTTTTTTTTTTTTTTTTTTTTTTTTTTTTTTTTCTTCGAAATCCATTTAACTTTTGCAATGGATGTATATTCAACCGAATCGGAGCTACAGGAATGACGGAGGAGAAAAAAAAAGGGTAAACTATGTAATTTTCCCTCGTTTCCCTAGGTGGAGTCGCAGCTCCTGGACACCGAGTTCCAGCCTACGGTGACGGCCATGTGCCAGCCGGGTTTCATGAACATCAGGGTCAACTTCAACCAGAGCTTCGTCGGGGCGGTGCACGCGCGTGGCCACAAGGGCGACTTTCGCAAGCCACCGTGCATGGTAGCCGGCAACGGCTCGCAACAGGTCACCCTCACCGTCGACCTGTTCGCGGTGCCCGACTCCACCGAGTACTGCGGCATTGTCGTCAACAACGTGAGTACACACACATACTTTACATCAGCTGAAGAAAAATTACTTTTTTTTATTGTTATACAATATGACACGCATACACATACAAAGTGGAGCAACGAGTTATATACTTTCCAACACTTTCGCCCCCACAATGGCCCTTTCTCTCTCTCGTTTCTGTGTCAATGAGAATGGGATGTTTTTTTTTTTTTTTTTTTTTCATTATCTTCTTCCTTCCTTCCTGCCTTCCTTTCTCTCGTGCTAGAACAATACATGCATGTTTTCACACTCGTAAAAACAATGCGGGCACTTTTCACATTCAAAATAAGCTCTCGTCCGTGGTATATATAGAGGCGATGCGTCTATCATGGCGCATCTCTTTTCATGTGCATTTTCACTGATAGTCGATGTCACAGAGGATGCGCGTGATAATAGAATAATGGATGAAATTACAAAGAGGGACGAGTTGGTCGGCTGTGTCGTGGCGGGAGAATTCTTTTTTAAAGTTATACGCGGGTATGAGTACCGTTGCGCGAGTATATTTACCATGGAAAATTGTGTGTATAGGTAAAGTTCATAGGTACGGGTATCAATAGCGTTGTGTGCCTTTTAGCATTTGTTGGTGCTCTTTTAAAGTTTATTTGACAAACGAGTAAAAAAACATTTATTGCCGAGCTGGTGAGCGTTTTTTTTTTTTTTTTTTTTTTTTTTTTTTTTTTTTTTTTTGGTATATAGTTAAAGTGTGTCAAACGACTCGTGGGCTTTGAATTTCGAAAGGGAGTAAGTGTACTTTGTCGTACCGCAAAGTTAACGAGTTTTTTTTTTTTTTTTTTTTTTTCAGCTTTCAATTTT